TCTAAACAGTGGATGGTAAACAGTCAGTGTATGACAGCTTCTGGCAGCTTCTAGTTGCTAGAAAGGATTCGTCAGAGATTGAGGAAGGAAAATAAAACTTTAATACAATTTAATTTGTGTTAAAGTTCTAATATGTATATGTTGTAACACACGTTATAGATTAACATGTGACACTGATGAACTAATTATCATTTAAAAAAATTCTTCCAGATTCCATCAGGATGACGAGTGCTAACGAAAGCCACCGCCCGCTATCTGAAGTCGACCTCTTCCTCGCAGCGCCGCTCAGCTCCGCCTCCTCGGACACCTCCGCAGCCGAGAGCGACGACGACTGGAGGGGCAGCGACAACTCTTCCACTAACGAAGACGGAGGGCGGCAGTCTGGAGGTCAGAGACATCAGACAGCATCGTCGGACCGGCCGGCTCACCGCTGCGCCAACTGTGGAAAAAGCTTCCGCCACAAAGGGAATCTGGTGAAACATGCAGAAACGCACTCGGACAACCCAGAGTGTCTCTGTGGAGTCTGCGGTGAACACTACGAGTCCTTCTTCAACCATCTTCGGTCTCACAGAGAGAGAGGCGGCGGAACGTGTGAGATCTGCGGGAAGATGTTTCAGAACATGGAGACGCACATGAGGAGTCACACCGGGGTCAAACCATACAGCTGCGACATCTGTACCAAGAGTTTCCCCCGACCCGGAGCACTGAGGAGACACAAGAAGATCCACTGCAGGAAGACGGCCGATGTGTGCCCGGTCTGTGGACTCACTTTCACCCAGAACCAACTGCTCCAGGATCACCTGAAGACCCACGAACAGGACGATGGCGACAGGACCGAGGACGACGAAGGCGGTCAGTTAGAGACGCCTGAGACAGATCGAGGGCTCAAGTCCTCCTCGCTGTGCTGCAGAGTCTGCGGCGATTCATTCCACAGCCGAGGGTTCCTTAGGAAACACGCCGAGAGCCACAGCAGCGAGTCTCAGAGCGTCTGCGGCGTCTGTGGCCAGCAGCTGGACTCACCTGACCGTCTGCGGACTCACCTGCAGTCTCACAGAGAGACCAGTGGGACCTGCAGCATCTGTGGGAAGAGTTTCCAGAACATGGAGACGCACATGCGAAGCCACACAGGGATCAAACCGTACCGCTGCGGCATCTGCAACAAACGCTTCCCCCGACCTGGAGCACTGAGGCGCCACAGGAAGATCCACGGTGGGGAGCGACCTTACGTCTGTCAGCACTGTGGGAAGACGTTCATTGAGAGCAGCGCCTTAAAGACACACAGCAGGAGTCACTCGTGGGAGATTGGTGGCGATGAGGACGCAGAGCCTTTGCCGGACTCTCCAAGGCTGAAACCAGAGAAAACTGCGGAAGAGAATGTGAAGGTGTCGACTCACTGCTGCAAAGTCTGCGGCGAGTCTTTTCAAAGTAAAGGTAGTTTAAGGAAACATGCCAAGAGTCACTCAACAGAGTCCGTCTGCGGTGTCTGCGGTGAAGGTTTGCTGCCATCAGAGACCCTGACAGACCACCTGCAGAATCACAGAGACGCTGGTAAAATCTGTCACATCTGCGGTAAAACCTACCAGAACATTGAGACTCATATGAGGAGTCACACCGGGGTCAAACCGTACCGCTGTGGTGTTTGCGGTAAATCCTTCCCGAGGCCCGGTGCCCTGCGGCGCCACAAACGGATCCACACCGGAGAGCGACCATATATCTGCGAGTTCTGCGGAAAGACGTTTATTGATAACGGCGCTCTGACGACACACATCAGGAACCACACCGGAGACAAGCCAGCTCAGCGCGTCTCCTGTGAGACTTGTGGGAAGAGCCTGGCGTCGGTCCATGTCCTGGAGGTCCACAAAAGGATCCACACAGGCGAGAAGCCGTTCCAGTGTCGCATATGCGGTAAAGCCTTCAGGCAGGTGGGAGGACTGAACGCCCACATGCTGACCCACACTGGGGAGAAGCCGTTCAGCTGCAGCCTCTGCAACAAGAGCTTCAGCACCAAAGGATACCTGGAGACCCACATCCGCTTCCACAAGAAGGAGCGAGCTTTCAGCTGCAACCTGTGCTGGAAGGCCTTTGTCACCAAGAACGACTTGAAGAAACACCTGCTGACACACACCGGAGAGAAACCCTACAGCTGCAGAGTGTGCGGGAAGAGCTACCAGGAGAAACGCTCCAGAGACGTCCACATGAAGGTGCACCTGGACGTCCGGATCAGCAAAGAACCTATCAGGAGGCAGGACGGCAGTCTGCAGCAGGACTTTATTCAGCTGTAGACTTCAGACCAAGTTCAGACTTTAGAACAGAGTCCAGACTGAAATCTGATGATTCTCCCATCGTCAGAGACACAAAACTGTTTTAAATCAAGATTCATGGGTGTCCTCAGAGGTTCAAATACGATTTCACCTTTTTTATTTTTACATTTCAAAAACACTAACACGTGACGGGACGAACAGAAGCTTAAAGGCAGCAGGCGTTGGGTAGCACTGGACAAGAAATCTTCACATTTGAGAAACTGGAAGCTGCCGTCGGAATTTGACCATATTGATTTGGTTCTGAAAATAGATGCTGACTGATGGATTAATGGACTGATCACAGAGACGCAGCGTCACAGGCGCAGTGCTTCAAAAACATCTTGGCAAAGAGCTGATTATTATTTTATTATTAAATATAATTCATTTCAAAGAGGTGATAACTGAGTTTACTTTACACCCGCTGCTCCATAGCTCTCAGTCCAACTAGCTAACTAGCTAACCTATTTACCTGCATAGTAAACAGGAAGTGGTAAAGTAGTAAAGCCTGCTTCTTGATTGATTTGATCGGCTGTCTGGGTTAAGTGTGACACTGACTCTACGCTGAGTTGAGAATATTTTAACTTTAATGATTGTCTAAAAACCGCTAGAAAAAAGCTTGCCAGGAGACGCCGTCCGGCAGGAAACACCGGTTTAGTTGTGATGTGTCGCTGTGTGATCGACCTCCAATCAGCAGTGGTGACGTTCATGATGCTTTAACAGATAATTCTGTTTCTCTTTTTTTAAACACCAACTGATTGTGAAAGCAGCTGGAAGATCAATAATATCATAAAGATTGTTGTTGTGGCCTCCTTAATCAGGTTTCAATCTGACTCAAACAACATTTAATTTATTCAAAATCAGATTATTTACATTACATAATGAGTACATAATTAGTTCTCCGTATCAGTATATCAATCAATCAGCTGTTTCCTATTCATTGATCTGTTGAACTTGTTTCCACCTCCAGCAGTTTGTGTCCAATATTCTCAATATTCAGCAGGAAGTGCTTTTATTCTGAAAGGGCCTCCTGCTGACTGACTGCCGGTCCGACGCTCAAAGAATGAAATAAAATAAGAGTTTATAAGATGAATGAATGAACTGATTTAACACGTTCTTCCTGAGGTTTGAAGTGTTCAGAGTTCATTATTATTAATATAATAATTCAACTGTCAGAAACTCTCAGAGCGGCTGTGGCGCAGAGGCAGAGCGGAAGGTTGTTGGTTCGATCCCCGGCTCCTCCTG